ACCCCCAATGGGGGGCAAGGTTATGCTGCAATTCCTTCGACATTTCTCCATCCTGTTGGAATGTGGAACATGCATGCACACGTACTCGGTGTGTTTTTAAAGCTGCAGGGGCCAGGGTTCAAACTGCAGTCAGCTCTGTGGAATCCAGCTCCCTTAACCACTAGGCAACAGGGTCAGTCAACTAAAGCATTAGCCTATTTCATTAGGAGAGACTGTGATTTATACCCTTCACTTTGATATTGCCAAAACAAGAACCCTGTTTGAATTAACTCATTAAAATCCAGACGAGGGGCCTAGCAGTTGGCACAGTAGTTAAAGCACTAGACGCTCATATGGCCAGCTGCAGTTCGAGTCCCCGACCCGGTGGTTTGAAAGTCAAGCTGGTGGGCCGGCGGGAGGCATGGTGGTTAAGGGTGCTGGACTCCCACGTGGCCAATCACGGTTTGAGTCTTGGACCTGGTGGCTTGCTTTTTCTCTCTCATTCTGTCCCTCTCTAGTCAAATTAAAATAAGTAAAGAAAGAAAAAATATGTTAAAAAAAGAAGAAGAAAATCAGGCCAGGTACCTGTGCGTGCCCCAAATCCCAGGAGAATGGAGAAGGGACCAGTGTGGCCACCCCGGGGGGGTGGTTTCTCACTGTCCCTTTTACCATCTCTCTCTCTGGTAAGAACTTACACTCTATGGCAAAAACCTTTAAAAAAAAAAAAGAAGACTATGGTTTAAGAAAAATGGAAATAGTTAAAAACAGCCTTTGGATTAAATTTTAAAATCTGCTTAAAACAGCCTAACTAGAACCTAAATCAGCTGCAGATAAAATGCAAATCTGTATTATAACCACATTATCTTCCTAATCCGAGAGCTGAGGTGTCTGCCTGCTCTCATCTTACAGCAGTCACTGGAAAATGTCTAGGACAGGGAAGGACAGAACCACAGCTTTAGGCACTTCTGGTACTCCTCTGCCAGCGGCTGCTAGGATCACGCTGAGTCAGCCACAGGCCCGTAGGAAGACCACCGTCGTCATTACAAAAATCCGAAATTTCCCCCAATGGCAAAGCCTCCACAGAATATGCAACACTTGCTGCTAAGCAAAAAACGAAAGCAAATTTTCACTGCAAGCCAGAATGTCGGGATGGTCTCAATACTGATCCAGGATTATTGCAAAACTGCAGACAGATACTGTTATTCTTAAAAAGTGATCACTACAGGAGAAACCATGACCAGCAAGAGAAAACTATAGCAGAAATCAAAAGCCACAGTGGTGTGCCTAACCCCACCATCAGTCCTACAAAACACCTGCGTGCGCCTTGGTATAAATGGCCCACTCTGTCAGTGGCAGACTCTACTCACTTTAAGATTATAGTTGTGGTAAGACCCAGCAAGAAAGAAGGGGCAGGAAAGAGGAAGAAAAAAAACCTACTTCAGGATGTTGACAAGGGTAACTACCAGAGTTTTAGAATACGTTGGTTAACAAACCACATACCACTAAAATAATATATGTACACCAGGTTCCTCTGACACCAACTTACTTTGGCTTTCGATTCTAGCTACTCAAGTAACAGGAGCTGAGCGTAACAAAATACCCTTTGATTTTCACACCCTAAGGGTTCTTAGAAGAAAACCCAGGTCTCAATGTCCAGGTAAAAAAAAAAAAAAAAAAAAAAAAACAATTCCACAATGCAACTCAACTGTCCTGTTTCACTGGAACAGATGAGAGATTTGTCTTCTTTATTCCAACTCCACGGATGGTGGCCAGCCAATATGAAAAAATTCGCCCGGAGTGCCAGTCTCTCGCACGGAGTATCCGACCACAAGTTCCAAGAGAATGCTGCCTTTACAGGAGCCACAGAGAAAGCCTCCATTTGCCAATCACCACTGAATTTATACTGGGTTGTCAGTATCTTCTACTTATTCTGATGAGTTATGAAAAATATTTCTAACAGACTCACGGAATGTTTTAACTGGCACTCACAAATGGAATTCCCAGGAATGTAAATGCTATCCCTGTGTTCGCTCTGCATGGCAAAATAAACTCAGTGAAGGCCAAACTCGGCCCCCCCTTGTTTGTCTGTATCACTAGGTGCCTGACATCAGGAGCTACTTCACATCTGGAAGATGAATGAAATCACACACTGCAATTCACAGGCCTAGGGAGCCCACGGGAGGTTCGATTCCCAAACCCAGCAACTTGAAAAACACACGAGGCAAAAAGGTGCCTGCCTGCTCCAAATCCTGTTAGATTGGAGAGAAGAAAAGGTCAGCGGTGGGCCCACACCGCACTTGGGTGCTTTCTCCCTCTCCTGTCCTCTCCTGTCCGTCTCCGGCCAATGCACATGCCCTCTGGCAATTAAAAAAGAAAACAGCTCACTTGCTAAAACCTGGGAACCTTCTCAACAGTGCTATTTGTCACAACAGAACTTATCCTATACCACAAAATAAGCAATTCTGCATGAGGCCTACGAGGATGCCAAAGCAAAAGTTGCATTTTTTTGTAACAGCGCTCTTTCTACCCCAATCACATGATCAGTGAAAAACATCAAGTTTAAGAAGTCTTAAAGCCTGAGTTCTGAAACAGATGGCTCATTTCAGAATAATGTCAACTGCCACTAATTTATTTTTAAAAATCTTTGCATAATGACAAACCTAAGATGGTATTTCATGAATATTAATTTTATTCTTTCTTTTTCTCTATGCAAAGCAGCCGGGTGTGAGTTAAAGCATTGTGACTGAGGGATATCACTCTCTCTCATTTTTATGACTTTTGTTTACCAAGGGAAAAAAAATGGACAAAGGAAGACTTTAACTTTGTCAATGCCAATAGTTTCCTCTCTGCCCAGTTTTCAAATCACAGTATTCTCAACTACTTCAACCTCCAGTTTCACTGGTCTCCCACTATATTTTTAGATTGTATGACAGCTTACTGTATTTGATTTCTATTAGCGTTTACCACGGTCAAGTCTCCACAAATTGTGGAGACATCTTTCCAAAGACTGACGAGGTCTACCCTTCCAAAGTGCGCCCCTGCAGTGCCAACCATAACACTGTTTAAGAATTCCTTTGTTATTGGTCTCCCCCATGTAAATATCATTTCTACTAGGGTAGAGCTCTGCCTTGTTGGACATTAGAGAATAGGTTTTAAATAAGTCATTCAAGTGAATGAATGAATGATTTGGAGGGCAATAACCTTGCCATATCCTTCTGCTAAGTGGGTCACACTTGAGAACAAATCCTACTTTCTAGCCAGCGCTATGAGAACCTGGACGCTCTTTGCTGCTCGAATGAAAATTTGCAAATCTGTTTAAGAACCGACAACACTGCACGGTCAAAGCTGCTGCTGTAACACAGTTTATTCAAAAGGCACAGGGAATTACAGAAGATTCCTTAGGACGAGCTGCCAGTATTCCATGACCATCACTGAATAATCACCCCAATCACCACTGCTAAATGACTTCACTGTCTGGAGAGTTCGTTTTCCTCTCTGTTTAAAAGAACTTTTAGACGAAGATAGTGAAATACCGAATGACAACTCTCCACGGGCCTAACCACCACCTTAAAATCAAGGCAAGGAGCAGAGCGTAGGAAAAGTCTTGAACAAAAAACACGTGAAAAGGACATTTCCCGTTAGCTGGGAAAGCCTGGGAGAAAATTCTCCGCGCATCCTTCCCTCCTGTGCTGGTCAGAGTAAAAGCGGAGCGTAGGAAGATGCACAGCACCTCCACGTCGTAGTGGAGTCCCGCACGAGGGAGAGAGACGAGAGACGGCTGGGGACGCGTGGACTCCACATGGAAGCAGGAAGTCCGCTCCTGCACGGGCCGCTCGTCCATCACCCCAGTGGGCACGCCGGCCCCTACTTCCAGCTCACCCCGCGGTCAGCCAGGGGGACTAGTCTCACTGCCCAGGGGCAGGGGCAGCAGACAGGGCTCGGGACCCGTTCCCCCCTCCGGATCCTGCCAGAGGAGGAGCAGGAGCCCGGGCCGCGGAGGAAGGCGGCTCGTCCACGCGGCCGGAGAACTCAGCGAACAAAGCGCACCCTGGACCGAGCGGGGAGACTGGGAACCAGGGGGGAAAGGCTCACCCCACCTCTCCACGCCAGAGACAGGTGGAGCCGCGCGGTCCTCCATAATGGAGACGAGAGATGCGTTTCCGCGGGGCTCCTCCGAACTCCAGCGCCAACGCAACTGAGCCCGGGACCCCGGCCGGGGAGAAGGCCGTGAAGCCGGGGGTGGGGGGGACGAGGCTGCCGAGGTCACAGGTGGCCCCTGCGCCCGCGCGGGTCCCC